GTCCGAGCACGCTTGTTTGGATGAGATGATGAGGGTTGATGGGATGGAAGGACAACCACGGTCTCCTGAGTCTGACCGGCTGGTGGTACCTCGGGCTGGTTTGTTTCGGTCATGAGGGCCCTTACAGCTCATTTCTTGGCCATCTCTTGCTCAGCGGTTAGAGGGATCAAATTGATTTGGGGCAAGGTTGGGTCCGGTTCAGGAGAGGCTTCCAACAAAAAGTCAGTTACCTTGGTCTTTCGTTTACCGCTATATCGGTAGGTTGACTCAAAATTCAATAGCTCGATCTAACTTCGGTTTGGATATCGCAGCACGGCGCGAAGAACATTCAAGTTGGGGTAGCTGTATTGGGACTTGAGAAAGTTCAAATATTCATGAACGAAGACAACAGTTAGCTCGGTTCAGGAAGTGAAAACCGAAGTAAAGAAAAGCATGCAATGAAGCCAAGGTAACCCTACCTGCTACACCCTTGTTCCAATTTATTCTGTGGCCAGGGATCTGGGCTTGTTGGTCCTCAAAGTTCCCAGATTCCCAGAAGAAATCATTATCATTCACGTCTTTATCCAGGGTATTCTTTATTATTTTTTCACGCCGGCGCCTTATTCTTAAATAGTAAACCCAGCCATCTTCGGCCGATCCTATGGAGTATTGATGGAAGAGCTCGGCTAGATCGGGATTAAGGCCAGCTCGGCGGTTTAGCTCGGCAATACCGTTTATTATGCGATAAGAATTGGTAGAAAGTTGGGTAGGGTAGAGCTTGGTTTGTCTAAGGAATTCACAAAGAAGGGGTTGTACAGGGAATCGCAGACCGCACTCTACGATGGAAATAACGTTAAAAGGGACAAAGCCTTGTTTTTCCCAAAGGACGGTGTCTAGTTCGGCTAGTGAAAGGTGGACATCATCCGGAATTTGGTAGTCCTTACGGAATTCGGCTATGGCCCTTAGTGAGTTTACTAAAAACCTATATTTACCCATTGATTATTAAAGGAATTCACAAAGAAGGGGTTGTACAGGGAATCGCAGACCGCACTCTACGATGGAAATAACGTTAAAAGGGACAAAGCCTTGTTTTTCCCAAAGGACGGTGTCTAGTTCGGCTAGTGAAAGGTGGACATCATCCGGAATTTGGTAGTCCTTACGGAATTCGGCTATGGTCCCTAGTGAGTTTACTAAAAACCTATATTTACCCATTGATTATTAGATTATTAATAAATTAGCTGAAGGATTAGCTCGGTCAAGATAAGGCGCCTAGTAGCTCGGTTGAGCAATCAGAGGAGTGCCTAGCCAACCTAAGTCTGCAAAGTAAAAAAGAAAGGTGTTAAGCACTGATCATAGGACCGTGCTACAAAAAACAAGGGCAAGATAAATGAAGTCCTAGCTCGGCTACACAAGATGCTATCAGTTTTTAGCTCGATTTGAGCAAGGAGCTTTTTAGCCCAGTTGAGCCTTTGGGGTAGCATTCTTAGTTCGGTTTGTACTAAGGAAGCTGGTTTAGCCCCAAGTTGTAGCTCGGTCGGAGGTTAAGGCTTTCTAAGTACGGTATTGCGCAAACCTAGTATGGTTCGATTGCTCGGTTAGACAAAGCTAAAGGTACCTAACCTATGGAAACTACAAGTATAGTGTGGAGTTATAGTTTGGTTGTTAGGTGCAGGTAGGCATACAACCGGGGCAAACAAATTTTTGGTTCGGTTGAAATGTAAATTTGGATCAAAATCAGTGTTTCTCAGATTATTCAAGGTTCTACTACATGGATTTTTCCCAGAAAAATGGAAACAAAGATGGAATATGTGTTTTGCAAAAAACATACAAATACGCACATTATGTGTTGCAAACAAGTGTGAAATCAACAAAAAGGAAATCAGTTTGAGCAAACATACCAGTTCAAGGCGAGGGTACTAAAGATGAAAGGAATGGTAACAGAAAACACGAACTCAGCAAAATGCAGGGTCAGGCAGGAATGGAGACTCAGAGAGAGAGAGAAGAAGGTGAATAGTACGAGTAAATGATTCAAAAAGTAGGGTTTTGGTGAAAAGCTCAAGTTTTGGGCAGGACTGTTCAAATATCGCGAGGTACAAGGGCGGCGTGACAGCTACACTGGGCCAGTAAGGGTGTGCCACGTGTCCTTGGAATAAAGAAAGTTACAAAAATTGAAGAGACGTTTTGACTGGACAGATTGGTAGCATGATGTAAATTTAGCTCCGTTGGAAGGCTAAAGTTATTTAGCTCTGTTGGAAGGCTAAAGTTTTTTAGTTCGGTTGGAAGGCTAAAGTGTTTTTTAGCTCGGCTGGTAACAGGTAATCCCTATCATGCTGCACAGATGGAATTAAGGGGTAATTGAGAGGGTAATTTTTATATAAATTAGGCCGAGCTGGGTAATGGGCCATTCTATGGGCCACAGTAAGAAGGGCTGAGTAAAAGGGCCTTGCAATTAGTCCGGTCCAGAAGAGCCTTGCAGATAGCCCGGTCCGAAGGAGCTTGGTGGTTAGCTTGGTCACCACGGTTGGCGCGGTGACAGTTAGCTCGGTCACACTATATTGGGCCGAAGTATGTTGAGCTTTCCTCAGAACCTTGCTATTGGTTAGCTCGGTCCAAGCTCGATGTGATTAGTCCGGTCTCAGACAACACAGTTGGAATATGTTAAACCGAAGCACAAGCAAAGGAAGAGCCGAGCTAATGGGAGCTCGGACTAGTCTGCTGCTTTAGCATAGCCATGTTATCTCGGTCGTATTGACATCCAACCATGGTAGAACCATCTCACTTGGTTTAAGCAGTGAGGGGGGTGTTGAAGGATAAGCATGATCTTTCAAAAAGGTGATTCCTAGGAGGACTCTACGTGGAGGAGTAAGAGTCCTACTTGGATTGTGCCACGCGGAACCTATAAAAGCTCACAACATCACCTATGGAGAGGTAACACAACTTTGATTCTCAAATACACAGAGCTTTTGTCTATTTGTCTATTTTGCTGACTTAGGCATCGGAGAGGTATCCGGTACACACCCGCCGGCTAGCTCACGTTTGTGTTTTCAGGGAGTAAAGCGACGACGTTTGGAGGAGCGCGGACTTGATCAACAGGATTATATGAGAAGATTATTTCTTGCTCATACAGTTACGATCACGAGTTTGTTGGTTTGGATAGTATATGTATTTTTTGAATTATACTATATTTATGGATTTTTATTTTGTTTGATATGTACGGTTAATAGTTAAGTTTTGTATGTGGTTGAAAATTGAGTGGTACAAGTTGTGGAGAAATATTTTTATTGAATGGTTAAGAATTGAATAAATGAATGAATAGATGAATAATTTTGTATATGGATAGGTTATAGATGGCGCAAAAAATATTATAGAATAAATTATAAAAACTAAATAAGACCTTTTGGTGACTAAACAAATGTCACAGGTTGGCTTTTAGCTACTAAAACTTTAGTCGCCAATTGTAAAAAAGTACAGCTTTTGGCTACTAAACTGTTAGTCGCCAATTATAAAAAGAAACTTTTGGCTACTAAAATTTTAGTCGCCAATTCTCAAAAAGTAAAATTTTTGGCTACCAAATAATTAGTCGCCCAACATACATGCTCAATTGGCTACTAAATAATTTAGTCGCTAAAAGTACATATATTTATTTATTTAATTTTTTTAAAAAATATATGGTGACTAAAAAAAATATATGGCAACTAAGGTTTTAGTCACCAATAGGTCAGTTTTGGCTACCAAAAAAGTTTTAGTCAACGATTGTTTCCCCGACAAACTATAGGCGACCAAATGGGCGACCAAATATATTGGTTAGCAAAAGTGATTGGCGACTAAAAACAAGGCTTTTGGCGACTAAAATTTTAGTTACCAAAAGTGAAATTTCTTGTAGGGAATGTAAGTCCCAAATCCCTTGCCCTATCATTGTAGGTCAATTGTGGTTTCTAAATTGTAGCATTCTTCAAAAAAGGTCTTTTCCATAGCTATTTATGTGATCATTAAAAGCCCTTTCTTTTGCATCTACATGTTAATTTTGATGAACGTTATATTCTAATGTTTATTTGTCAGTTATAGACAAGTACCCAGCATAAAGCATTTATAGTTACTTTTCAAAACTAATAGTTGGAGAATTGCATCAAAATTTATTTAACAGTGACTTTTTCTTTTATCATTGTTTTCTGACCCTTCTCTGAGCTCTATGTTGGTGAAAGATTTTTCAATTCGTACTTGAGTTAGTAGTTTATTTTATTTACTTCACAAGCATTTTGGCAAGTCATAAATCATGGTGTACATCAAAAGTTGTAATAGATAAGACGCATTCTCAGTCTGAGCTGACTTTTTTAAGTTTTTTATATTATCACTGGCAAGTCACAAATCATGGTGTACATCAAAAGTTGTAATAGATAAGACGCATTCTTAGTCTGAGCTGACTTTTTTAAGTTTTTTATATTATCACTCTAGATTGCCCATTTTAATATTTCAGGGTCAAGAATCAATGAACAAAGATAAGTCCTCTTCCTTCTGTCCTTGATTTTTTTTATTTTATTTTTGTTACTCATTGCTTAATCATTTGGCTACATAATTTTGCTATTCATGTTAAATATTCCATTTGTATTCTTCATTTGCTTTTGATTGGGTTGGAGACGGTTATTAAATTTTACGCAATCATGAAATGGCCATGTTGTTTTGAACTATTGGTCATCATACACGCTGCAGCAAATGCGGCATGGTCTGACAAGAATTTTGCATAGATTTTTTTTGTATATGAGGTATTGTTAACAGATATGCTTTATTATAAGATAATAAAATAGTCTTTTTAATAAATTTACTTTATTAAGTTTCATGAATAATTTCTGAATCAAATATATATATTGAATGCAAGAAGGTAGTCTAGATCTCTATCAAGCATGTAATCCTGAATTTTCTTTGTCCATATTTAACTGCTTAACCATGAATTACCCTTCATCTATTTCTTTTTTGTATTTCCTTAATCAAGATTTTTTGGGTTGTTTTTTATATTATTTTTGTAGTGGGGAGAATGTATATTTGCTTTGCAAATAGCTCTGCACAAATGGAGTAGCAGATGTAGAGGGATCTGATCTATTTGTTTGTTCGACAATGCTACGTAGCTCAAATTTTGTGGCTCAAAAGTGGCTCAAATGGCCAAAACGACGTCGTTTCGAGTACAGAACAACATAAAAATGGCCAAAACGACGTCGTTTTATTTTTTGGGTTGTTTTTTATATTATTTTTGTAGTGGGGAGAATGTATATTTGCTTTGCAAATAGCTCTGCACAAATGGAGTAGCAGATGCAGAGGGATCTGATCTATTTGTTTTTTTCATCTCCAATGAGAAGAAGCAGGTATGTAACTTCATATTTTTCTTATGAGTATTTATTGTGTTCCAGTAGATTCTTATGGTTCCATGATATATTCATCATTCCCATGAACTGCTGCTTCCATTTGGTGGTGCAAAAATGAGACATAAAACTTCTAACTAATCCACCCAATCCTCGACCTGCTTCGCTTCCTTAAAACACCATCCCAAAAACTCCATTGCACTGTTGTCATGGACGGGAAGCACCTCCACCTCCCAACCACCCTTACAGCCATGATGACCAACACTCAACAGCTTTGGATGCCATGTTGGTGCCTCCGCTTCAATCGATGTGGTATCATCACTTGTTTATGCATAAATGAATGTAACAAATTGCTTGATTTACTTTTTCTCTGTTCCCATTTGGTGGAACGTACAAAATGTTCGCATTATTCTAGACGCAGAGTCCACCCACGTAATGAAGTACTAGCATAAAAGACAAAATGAACAAATTATATGATTGAATCGTAATGGGCCCAATGAAAGGATGGCATTAGGACAAAAATTATTAAGTGGTCTTTGGTCATCATGTAACAGTATTTCTTTCAATAACAAAAATCTTTTACCGTTTCTCACCTCCTAATTTAAAATTATGTGTCTCACTCTTTTTATCAAACATAATTATTTGATTAAAATTTTTAAAAATAACTTTTTAAGTTTTCAATTCAAATTTTTATATTTCTAATAATTTTTTGAAAATTTTTAATTATTTATTTTTTTACTTTTTAAATTCACTTAATCTCAATATACTTAGAAAATATAAAAAGGTTAATTACAAAAAAAAAAAAAATTATAAGGCTTCGCATATTTTTCACTTTAAATCTAGTGTTTCAATTTTGATAAATTAAACCCTAAAATTCCATCCGTATTTTAATGTGTGCCCTCCGTCAATTTTCGTTCATTTTCTTCTTTCAGCAGCACACATAATTTTCATATTAAAACCCACCAGTTGAAACACTTGTATCTCCCTTATCGTAATTCTATTTCGCCTCATTTTTGCATCGTTAGATTTACCCCATGGCCTACTTTTCATTCCATTCCTCATATGCCTTGCTCCACCTCTTTTTGCATACTGTCAAAACTTCGAAAGTTGACCAAAAATAATATTTTTCTTCCAATTTCTGACTTTTCTTTGAACCATCTTTCGGACTCCATAATTTTCTTGATTCTAAACTATTTTACTTTATTCTTTTGCCAATTTCTTCACCTCACTTCCTACTTCGTCTTATGCTAACTGGCTTTCTTACTCCTCAAAATGGGTGATTTTGGTATGTCGAAAGTAGCCCAAAAACCAACTTTGAAAATTTCAAAAACTTATCTCTTTTGTTTCTTTCTTCTCCATCTTCCTTCTTCTTCATCTTCACCTATAACATGTTGTGAATGGTGGTTCTAGGTTTGACGAAGATGGGTAGCGGCGATGGCGGCGGTCTTGCGGTGGCGACGATAGTAGCGAAGCTCATGGTTAAAGAAGGTGATTACGGGGATGGGGATGGTGATGGCAAGGGTTAAAAGTGGTGGTAATGGAGTTCGACGGCGATGGTGAGGTTGAGAGGTGGTGATGATGATGCGTAGGGCGACTTAGCTGTATGTTGTGTTTGTTCGGCCCTTCATCGCTGATCAGCGTGTTGGTGTGCCTGGTCAAGCCTACGATTTTGCATGGTGAACAATTAAGATTTGTTATGAGCAACGATTCAGCTCAGCGAAGTGCACAAGTAAGATTTTAGCTCGGCTGAGAGTTTTAGCTCGAGCAAGTGTTTTGAGTTAGGTTTTAGCTCGGTTTGTCAGATAAATTTTCAGAACATAAAACCTTAGAGTTTGGATCATGTATCATGTGTATTAGTAAGAAAACAAAACAAAAGCGTACCTGATTCCATCGTAATGGTTAAACGGAAGCGTGATTGTCAATAACACCTTTTGTATTGCCTTTGTTATTGCCTTCCAATCCTTTCCTTTTGAGTGCCTTTTGTTTCTCCTTGAGAGGATATCAAAGAAGTTGGCAGTTCTTTTCTTATCAGGCAGGATTAGGGACCATAACATCTTAAAGTTAAAATAGGTTTTCAAAAAACAAAACCGTGTGGCAGTTTCTATGAAAACCAACTTAACCAATTTTGTTTTAATTTTTATTTTTGCCCCTCATAGAAATAGAAATTACTCGACTAGTATCTACACATTAGGTCCATGACACATATACCCTTAAGCCTATTAACTAATTTGAATCACTTAAATTGTAGGCTTCTTATAAATGATAACACCACATTTAAATATGTGGTCCCATTGAGACATTATCTAACAATCTCCCACTGGACCACATATGTAACCTGACAAATGTGCTTAACTTTAGTGAGCTCAGAAATTTGTTATCATGACCTGAGGGTATCCAAACAATCTTTTCCATTAACTATATTAATATAGGATCAAAGCGGTCTTCGTTACATTAATCGTAACTCGACCCACCAATGGTCACGTATACCAATACAGCTAAACGACATAGATCAATCATCGATGCGTAGCATGGAAATTACATGTAATGTGATCTATACATGACTATTTCCAACTAGTCCTACTTAACTTTATTGAGATCAATACTTCACAATACGTAACAGAGTGTAATAAACTGAATACTTCATTTCTGCAGAAATTAATCTAATTACATAAATAAAACTCAAGGCTGACATAAAACAGTAATGTAAATACAAACTCCCACTAAACCAAAATGTTCTCAAATAGAACAACACCCATATGAGCAGTGTGCTCATGAAAGACCTTGGGTGGTAGTCCCTTCGTAAGTGGATCCGCTATCATGGAGTTTGTCCCAATGTGCTCTATGGAAATCTGTCCACTCTATACTCTTTCTTTTACAACTAGGAACTTGATATCAATATGCTTTGATTTTGTCGAGCTCCTGTTGTTATTGGAATATAAAACTGCAGACTTATTGTCACAGTATAACTTAAGTGGTCTTTCAATGCCTTCCAAAATACGCAACCCAGTGACAAAATTCCGCAGCCATATCCCTTGGTTTGATGCCTCATAACATGCTACAAACTCTGCGGCCATAGTAGATGAAGCTATGAGCGTCTGCTTTGCAGACCTCCAAGAAATTACTCCGCCAGCCAACAGATAAATATAGCCTGATGTCGATTTCCTACTATCTTGGCATCCAGCAAAATCAGAGTCGGAATACCCAATGATCTCTAACTTATTCGACCTCCTATATGTGAGCATATATTCCTTTGTTCTCTGTAAATACCGCATAACTTGCTTGGCTGCTTTCCAATGATCCATGCCAGGATTACTTAAATATCTGCCTAACATGCCAACTATGAACGCAATATCTGGGCGCGTACATACTTGGGCATACATTAGACTCCCTACAGCCGAGGCATAAGGAATCTTCTGCATTTCTTGAATTTCAAGACTGTTTTTCGGGCATTGGCTGAGACTAAACTTGTCTCCCTTAGCAACCGGGGTTTCACCTGATTTACAATTTTGCATGCCAAATCTAATGAGTATTTTTTCGATATAGCTCCTTTGTGATAATCCCAGAATACCCCGAGAACGATCTCAGTGTATTTCGATTCCTAATACAAAGGAAGCATCACCAAGATCTTTCATTTCAAAATTCTTAGATAGAAATCTCTTGGTGTCATGAAATAAGTTTATATCGTTTGTGGCAAGCAATATATCATCAACATATAAAACCAAAAATATGTGTTTAATCCCACTGAACTTGTGATACACACATTCATCAACAACATTAGTTTCAAAATCATACAAAGTGAGAACTTGATGAAATTTGAAGTACCACTGACGAGAAGCTTGTTTGAGTCCATAGATGGATTTAGTCAATTTGCAAACCATATTCTTTGGGTCTCCCGACACAAAGTTTTCTGGCTGCACCATATAAATTGTTTCTTTAATGTCACCATTAAGAAATGCTGTTTTAACATCCATCTGATGCAACTCAAGATCAAAATATGCAACAAGACGTGCTTTATACCACTCCACATTACTATTTGTGTAACAACCCTCATTTTTTACTTAGCCATACTTGCATATATTTACGGATAATCTTGTTTTAATATGTGCATTTGCAAATCTTGTCTTGTTTTGCTTGAATGATTGCTTGCACGCTTTGTTCTTGTCTGGTGTGTTTCCGAGATCATCTTAAGCCTAGACACCTTCGAAACCTTTGTCACTTAGAACTACCTTGGAACCCCGTTGGTTGACATCCATCTTCACCCTGGCATATTGGCCGAGATGTCACCGTCGAGGCCAAGGTGCGCGTCGCCTTGGCCGAGATGTGCATCATCTGGGCCGAGATGTTAATATATAGGCGTTCTAGATCCTTGATCCTTGCATGAGTGATTTTGTTCCTAGAATGGTATGACCTAGACCGAGGTGTGGCACATCTAGGCCAAGGTGTGGCACAGTTTAGTCAAGTGTTGTCCTTCCAAGCCGATGTCCTTGCCCCTTGATTGCCGGTGTCCTGTTGTTAGCCAATGTCATTACTTGCCGGTGTGTTCTTGCCGCCTAGCTTGTTGAGTACACTTTGTCTTGGTCTTGTCTTGTCAAGACAGTCACCTTTTTGCGTTGAGCGAATCAACCGATGCCACGTGTCCCGACATAGGGACTAAGTTAGTGATTATCGTAAGAAACATATCATTTGTATCAAGTGTTGCCTTTTAGAGAGAGAAACTCAAGGAAGAAGAAGGAGAAGTTTAAGCTAGAGAGAGTGAACTTCCAAGCTTGATCATTGGAGCTTGAACCGTTAGATTCAGGTTTTGAGGTTAGAATCGTAAACTATTCTTGTTGTTCTTATTGATTATCTAG